ACTGCCCTATACTCTCAAGTGTTGAAATAAAAAAGCAGTGACTTGGCGTTTCACCTTGGAGGGATGTTGCACTTATTCATTATCTCTCATGTACAGACTCAATCAAACCGAGTCTGCAATTCTTATGTTATTTTGTTGTGATTAATGCTTCCGAGGGATCACTTTGTTTCCAGAATTGTGTACTTCACAACAGCAGGTGTCAAGTGCTGTGTGGCAGCCGTAAAAAGTTGCCCCGTACTTCACTTCAGTGTTGTTATATTTTCTGGTCCTTCGGGATCATTGATACCAACACTATGAAGTGTTGAGAATTGAGTACCGCTCAAGCCGGTGCTAGGGGGCGTGAGGGATGTTGCACTTATTCATTATCTCTCATGTACAGACTCAATCAAACCGAGTCTGCAATTCTTATGTTATTTTGTTGTGATTAATGCTTCCGAGGGATCACTTTGTTTCCAGAATTTTAAACATGGTTGCAGTGAAAGAGTAAAGGCATGTAAAAACTCCAGTGGACTGGTTATAATCCCATCGTTCGTTGAGATATACGACTTTGTACTTAAGAATAAAACCAGATGATTTATCTGGAGTGCTTACTGTAAACCCGATAGGTGTATCTGAAAATATGGAAAGAAATATTGATAAATCTAACGTGCGCATTTATAGATATTTGAATAGATGAAATATCTTAGTTGCAAATTCCAACTGTGCAGTTTAGGAAGCATGTTAAGGTATGAATCTATTTAAGCATAAGATATAAGTATCAGATATTACTCTAATTTTAAGTTGGTGCTGGGGTATATGATTGTAGTTGTTTCAAAACGTCCATACATGTTATTTATCATTTCATCTCTTTCATGCCATTTTAGCTCACCAGAACTTTTGCTCAAGAGTAAGATGTAGTTATTTAAAATGTATATTCCCTTCCTATTATTTCCCTTAAAAAGCGCTGATTTTATCTGAAAACAAATTGTATCATAGTTTGGGGACCTTTCTGTTGAAAATGCGTCAGAGTTAAATCGTACATATATACATGCGCAGTGCGTCAACTGGACTGCAAGTATTAATTACCCGCACTCCTGAGCACGCTCATAGATTGGTTCATGTTTGCTGGGGTTTACTTATTGTGACAGCAGAGAAAGGAAACGCGACAGAAATATGATATTCAGATGCTCGTTGATTGGGGTTTCATATTGTGACAACAAGGAATGTGTTTATATGTTTGACTATGATACAAAAGAGAAAGAACACCAAAACACTCGGCAATTTGATTTATACTCGGGAACAGTAGATTTTTACCATTACACCGGGAATTTTATATTCCTAATTTCATTGTAAATCTATAAAATTGTTACTTTTTAAAGTAAAAACTTTTAATGTTATGTGTCCAGGATTAGTTATCAGCAATTGTTTGATCGAATTAATAAAACATTACCATATAATTTGATATTTGAATGGTGATGTACTATGCTAGATCACGGCGGTAGTTAACCTAATCAAATGACTCATCAGAGACATCTTATTTCGTAAAATTGGTCTGACTTCAGACCATTCTATTTGAAAGACCCTGTTTAGACATAAAATTTTAAATATTATGATTTTCGCGTAGCATCAAAGAATGAATAAGTATCATATAATTCAAACAACAACATACATGTACGTTAAGGTACCAACTTTCTTCATCACAAATCACCTGACATACCTTTCTATAATTATTTTTAATAAAATTTATCAAGCTTTCGTCCCGATAGCTTTTGATAAAAGGTCAGTGCTTATATAAAAATACCTAGAAAATGAAGTCATATTCCCGTTTTATTGTGGCATAAAGGCAACAAGCGTACCAAATTATAGGAAGTTAACGTTTTAGTCTACTAAATATTCTGCGGTTCTTGAACTTAAACATGAGCAGGTGTGCCCTATTTCAGACTGTCAATTACTGTCTAAATTAACTGAAATACCATATTTACATACTATTTTATTTCATATAAACTTGTATACATATATACAGAGAGCCGCTGTTCGCCCCCTCGTGCAAATCAAATAGCCTTGTGTTTCGATGCTCTTTCTATTACAAACATTACATGGTATGTATGATAATGCACAAAACAACCATAATTTGGAATTTTTGAAAATTGTGATTTCCTTTTTTATAGAGGAATTGACAAAAATGTTTACAACGCAGACGGCGGTCGATTTGACTGCAACGCTTTGCTTTATTGCCTTTTATGAGGGTTTACTTGACATAACTCATTTTTCAATTTAGAACAACCATTTTCTTACTTTGGCATCAGAGAAACGTGTTTCTTAAAATTAGTTAAAATAATATGATGCAAATATATGTTCGAGTTGCGGTTCCATTTCCCTGTCATTGTAATTCCTTTGGTAGAATAGTTTACGTTCAACCTTAAACTTAAAAAGACCTTGAGTTCGAGGTTTAACAACAAACATATAAAAGAAATTCCCGTAAAGATTAACAGAACCTGCTTCTTAAATATGAAAAACAATCTCAGTTTTGAATGTCACTGTGTTATATTACCATACTGAGAACACCAATTCATACTTGTATCATAGTTTGGGGACCTTTCTGTTGAAAATGTGTCAGAGTTCAATCGTATACATATACAGTCATAGTGCGTTAACTGGAGTGCACCACTCGAAAGCATGTCCATTGATTGGTTCATTTTTTTTCTGGGGTTTACTTATTGTAACGACAGTGAAAGGGATAACAATAGAAATGTCATATTTAGTACGCTCCCTTCGCAGTTCACTGAATACACTCACGCTACTTCAGACAAGAAAGTGAGCGAAAGAAGAATATTCGACCGATACACTGGAGAGTACATATTTAGATGCTCGTTCATTGCTTACTTTTTTGGGGGTTTCATATTGCTACAACAGGGAACGTGTTTTTATTTTTGCCTGTGATACAAAGGAGTTCAATGAAAAGCAACGTTACAATTGTGCAGTTTTATAAAGTCCTCGTTACCGCCCAATGGGCGGGTCACCTCGGGACGGATATTCCGGTCCGAACCGTAACATATGACAGATATTTTTAGTATAACACAAGTCACGCGCTTCAAATAACATCATTGCTGCGCGCCTTTTATGAATGAATTGCGTTCTCAGGACAACGCCATTATACCATTATGAATGAATTGGTAATTTCATACGCTACTGTAAGAAAAAAGTGCGTTATGAGAATATCAGATTTCGTAATTTCTGTTCTGAAAATAATTTATATGTAATATGCAAGAAAAAGAATCAACCACCGGCTGTCGGTACAGCCGAGAATATCTTGCTTTCGGGCAACTCGGCAGAGCCTCGTTACCGCAGTAAACAGCTTACCTCGAGCTAGACTTTCCGGTCTGTACCGGCAGCCAGTGTAAGATTCTTATAACATATAATCATATTGTTTTAAACACTTAACGAAAGCGTTTCTCTAATGTAAACGTAAGAAAATGGTTGTTCTAAATTGAAAAATGCGTCATGTCAAGTTAAACCCTCACAATAGACATTAATGGTATCGGGACCACAGCACTGCGTTGCAACCGAATCCACCACCAAATTATGTTTTTTTTGGTGCAAGTATTATACAAATGATGTAATGCTGGTGCATTTAGGGGCCATGTGTTGCACACAATTGTACGTGTTTTAACCTAAAATAGGCAAAAGTGGCGTCCCCACGCCAAACTGTACATGAGTGTTAGCAAAAATGGCAATGAATTGCACCGTTTGCGTGTTATAAGTTGGAAAAGTACATATGTGGGCTCAAGTCTCACTATGTGTTTCCGGTTAAACATTCAAACATAAAGTAAAATTCATTCAAAAACTTACCGACAACAGCAAACGGCCATATTTTATCCACCGCTTCTGCGACGAAATCTCCATCGCCAATGGCGATGAACCATTCGCTTCTGCAAAAACTATGACCAGTGTGATAATAAATGCATTAATATTTATCATTTTAAATTCCTAAGTTAGAGTTGATTGCACAGTCCCGTAGCTACTGTCGAACATCGTTTATAATGTCCGTAGTCAATCGCCTGCAACTTTTCAACGACTCTCTCGGCGATTGAGGTCACCAACGTCCTTTGAAAATTTCTTCTTTCTGCCTCTCCCTTATTTTCTTTTTTTTTTCAATTTCTCAATCATCCTTTCTTAATAATTTATTTCAATCAAAAACTGTGCTGTGGTTACCTTAACATTTTCCCTTTTTCCATTATCCCTTTCTATGTTTTAGACAGTTTCTCGACTTACTATTGACACAATTTCTTATTGATCGAATTTCGTGACGTTCCGACGGCATAATTTTAACAAGAGGTTTCTTTTACAAGTGACATATGAATTGTGATTGCAGATATAAATGTGATTTAAATGAAATCATTTTTTTCTGACAACGTCAAATATGACTCTTGCCGTTTCGGCGGATTTTGAAATCTAATTGTGACATATTGTAAAATATACGCTTCATAAAGCGCCTATTGTCAGCGCAAATTTATGCACGGCGCTAGGTGTGCGTTGCCATGTTTTTTTTTAATTCGCTGTTACTTTCAATCTATTTGCGTTATAAAATTAGATATGGTATAGTTTCCGATTAATTGTGATATATAACAATTAGTGATAGTTTGAAAATGTTTCAATTGACCGCCCCAGTCCGATTTATATCATCCCTCGTATGTCCTGAAGACTTTAAAATCGTTTTCCATTTTTAGACATACGTATATATTTATAAGGAGGATTAAGCATATTCACACTGATCATTTCCGCTTCACTATAGTCTATCACGCTGATAACGCTTCATCAGAAATTCGCGCTTACTTTATAGGCGGGGCTGAATATGCTAAGTTATCTATCCCATGATTCAAATTAGCGAATAAATATTTTGCAGTTCTGTATCCAATAAATATTTTAAATTATACAATATAATTATATTTTCAAATATAGAACATATATATAGAAATTTATCGTACACAAATATTTTTTGATGAACAAATATTTTAGTAGGATAGAATAAATATTATGGTAAGGCATATAAAATTAGAGTTATACAATATATATATTGGATATAAACCATAAATTAAATTTATTGAATATTGCAACGTTTAACATGCCATACATCTTGTAAATAATTGACTGCGACTGGTCAATTAAATGAAACACGAAATCCAGTGAAAGAAGAATATTGGTGTATGTAGGCTTGTTTAAAGCAATTCGATAGGACAACAATATCTCCTGCATCTAAACGATAAACAAATGATCCTGATCCTGACTGAAAACCATCATTGGCAGCATTACCAGTGTTCACTACTAACTTGGAAACGCCGTTGACATGAAAATCACATGCGACTTCACGTGCACCTGAGCTTCTGAAAATAGTTGCTGTGAAGAAGTAGAGTCCTGGATGTCTACAAGTGAACACACCTGAGTACAAACTATAGCCGTCTCCTGAATTGTATATTACGTTTTTGAACTTAAGGGCAGAACTGGAGGACGTATCTGGGTTTGATACTGCAAATCCGACCAACACGTCTGAAAAATGATATTAAAAAATTATAACAAGTCATTTTTACAGAATTTCATTTTTGTTTTTGTTGTTTCTTCTTTTTTTATGTAAAAGTTCACCCAAAATAATGTCTGCCATACAAGATTAAAAAGATCTGATAACTACCTCTTTCCTTTTTTATTAGAGTGCAACCGTGCTTCCTCTTTGCTTTTTATTAGAGTGCAACCGTCATAGTTTTATACCTATTTATTTTATAGAAAGTGCCTGAAGTGTTTTTTTTATAACATTGATGTAACTGATAGTTAAGATTATTTTGAGCAAATCTATGTAATTTCTAAAGTAAGAATATTGATTGATACATATAAAGAGCAGTGTACTTACTTGTTTTACTTAAAATGCTCGTCAACTTTTGGTCAACTTCTGTCTGAATCTGTCCCTGTGTGTGTTCAAGCTTATCAATTTTTTGGCTTAGAGTTGTCATCAGTTTCTGCAGATCCGCTGATAAAGAGTAAACGTTTTACAAAAGTAATAAAACAATCAATGTAGTCAACCTGTTCTGTTTTCAAAAGTATTGAATCTAAGCGTTTTATCACAAATTGTACATTAGTGACAAGTCCCTAGATGAGTTAACAGAAATACATGAGAAAGCTAGTTTAGAATATTTCAAAATAATGTATCAATTTATATTTAACTTCGGAACACTTTGACTATTATTCATTATTTGAGATTTACCGGAGATTGACGGAAATAGCCGGTATATTTTTATTGTTCGCAGATACAAGACCAATCAGAAGTTCCTACTTTTGAAAAATTTTAACAAATTATCAGCTGCAAAAACATCTCGCATGTTTCTTTTTAAAGACATAAACTTGTTATGCTCATTATCAGTATTATGACGTTCTACCAATGTCGTTACAAAAATGATATTGAAAAATTATAACAAGTCATTTTTACACAATTTTATTTTTGTTTTTGTTTTTGTTGTTTCTTCTTTGTTTATGTAAAAGTTCACCCAAAATAATGTCTGCCATACAAGATTAAAAAGATCTGATAACTACCTCTTTCCTTTTTTATTAGAGTGCAACCGTGCTTCCTCTTTGCTTTTTATTAGAGTGCAACCGTCATAGTTTTATACCCATTTATTTTATAGAAAGTGCCTGAAGTGTTTTTATAATATTGATGCAACTGATAGTTAAGATAATTTTGAGCAAATCTATGTAATTTCTAAAGTAAGAATATTGATTGATACATATAAAGAGCAGTGTACTTACTTGCTTTATTTAAAATGTTCGTCAAATTTTGGACAACTTCTGTCTGAATCTGTCTCTGTGCGTGTTCAAGCTTATCAAATTTTTGGCTTAGAGTTGTCACAAGTTTCTGCAGATCCGCTGATAAAGAGTAAACGATTTACATAAGTAATAAAACAATCAATGTAGTCAACCTGTTATGGTGCCAAAAGTATAAAATCTAAGCGTTAAATCACAAATTGTATATTAGTGATAAGTCTCTAGATGAGTTAACAGAAATACATGAGAAAGCTAGTTTAGAATATTTCAAAATAATGTATCAATTTATATTTAACTTCGGAACACTTCGCCTATTATTCATTATTTAAGCTTATCCAGAGATTGACGGAAATAGCCGATATGTTTTTATTGTTAGCAGATACAATTCTACCAGTCAGAAGTTCTTTCTTTTGAAAAATTTTAACAAATCTTCAACTGCAAAAAAGACATCTCGCATGTTTCTTTTTAAAGACACAAACTTGTCATACTCATTATCGGTATTATGACGTTCGACCAACGTCGTTACACTACTTTTTCCTCCGAGAAGTTTCGTGCCGAGACTTGGCATGGGAAATCATTTGGTACGGCAACTCCAGTCCGGATGTTGTCTACATCATCCCACCGCTTCCACCAAATGTATCGGTTTAAGGCACACAAACAATGCCTGTTAAAACCTAGCTCACCACCAAGAGTGGTTTGTGCCCTTATATATTGGAAACATTCCCTTATGTTAATTTACAACTTTAGTTTTTGCATATCATTATGCTCATTATCAGTATTATGACGTTCTACCAATGTCGTTACAAAGGTAGAAAAATGTAAGCAAAGTTGTATTTTGACTTCCATACAAAATATTGCCAATGGAGCAAAAGTAGCAGGTAAGAGTTCATGAATATGGCTATTAAGTTTTATCTTAAACAAAAAACTGTAATAAGATACAAAAAATGCTTTTGTAAAATAATAATTTTAGCGTTTCTGAGACATTGTGGGCCTTAAGTATTTTTTATAAAACATATAACGTTTGAATACATGTTTTTACAAATTCGACATGATGATGATGATAATGACGATGAATTACCTATGCTAAAAGTACAATGTTAAAATTACTCAATTAATGTTTGTAATATATGTAACAAGAAAGCATGTGCCAAAATATTTATTTCATATTTATAAATCATCAGAAGTATGGGGCGCTTTATCGTGATACATGCAGTCCTCTTTTTTTGGGAGCTATATCCATTGCAATTCTGGCCAGGTGCCGAAGAATACAGCTCTCTGGAATTTTTTTATAAGTTGAGAGCTATATGTGGCGTAACATTGCTTATGTATTTAGATTTACACACAATATCTATTTTGGACCTTTTATAATGATTAAACGCCAATGTTTAACATGTAATTATCAATTTGTTCATCATTTTCACACAAATAAATAATCATTGTTTTTATTACAAATAGAAAACATTGTATAAGGCGACTTACCAGAGCACTCGCTGTTTTGACACTGAACTGTTTCTGTACCATTACCGTTACAGTCAAAGCCATTATCTTTCGGCGAAACGCTTGTGCATGTTCGAATCCTCCATTTGAATCCTTGTCCACATTTGGCGTTGCAAGGCGACCAAACTGACCAGTTTTTCCAAATACCAGTTACCGTTGCCCCTTCAAAAGTTAAATCAATCACTATTGCTTGCGGAACATATAATAATGTTGTTCTTAAAAGCGAATTAACTGTCTCTTGAGGGGGGCTCCATGGTCGAGTGGTTAAGATTGTCGACTTCAAATCACTTGCCCCGTACCGCTGCTCATTTTTACGAATTAGTTTGTGTAGAATTATATTTTGACTTTTTTTTTTATCCAGATAACATTAATGAAATAGAATAAATCAGTCAAAGAAATCAGAACCAGTTGATAAATTATATTTATCGCTGTCTCAGCAAAAAAAGTTATTCTGAGTTTCAAGAACCGATACAATATCGGCTTTCGGTCATTTCCGTCAACATCCGGTAAATATGAGTAAAGTTATAATATTGGGGTACTAATTTTAAACAATATAACACAAAACAAAAAACAATAGGTTTGTACTATATTTGCCTGTTGTTTCTTATTATTAAGCCATAAACAAATAAAAAAATAAAGATTATATTCTTATTTGTTTAATATAGCTGTTATCATCCAACAGACTTGCATCAAGTTCTATAAAGAAAATCTTCAGTACTGACCTTTACTATTTGAAGCCTTTGAAACGTTTGTACTCATGTATAAAGAAACAGATACTGCAATTATCAACAGTCCAATCAAAATTGAATTTACTAGGGTACACCATAACAAAAGTGGTGTACACTTCTTGGCTGACGGTGTCGTTTTATCTGCATGCTCCCCTGTACCATGTTGAAGAGCATCATAAATTCTGTCTTGTTTAGTCCTAATATATTCCGACGCAATATCAGTATAAATTTCCTTTGCTGTGTCTGAATCCCCGTAATGATTGTTTAACTCCATAACTACATCCAAATTATCAAAATATTCCCGGTTTTTATTAAAATTAAATCAAATCAAATTTATTCATTCAGTGCTCAATACAGGATACAAACATACAAAGTTTATATGGTTGAAGTACTTAGTTGATTGAACATTGTTATTCAGTTATTCATAATTCTTCGGACCTTGTACCCATTTTAAATAGAAATAATTTTTCCCATTGTGTTATTCTTTGAACACTTGATACATTTTGGATGTCACGTATGCATACTTAGGTTTGTGTCCGTTTGAACTTCCTAGTGAAAGTTCATGAATAATGACTGGGTTATGAATGTAGGGCAACTGAGATAGAGTTATTAAAGTATACAGTTCTATCTCCGATTTTTGTGAAAAAGAGACATGTTGTGTTTTGTTGTTGTTGTGTTTAAGATTCTTTTTTTAAACTAAAACTTGTTGCATTAGTTTTTAGAAACGTCAATATGTGAATTAAAAATAGCAAAAGTGGAAAGAAAAGTACTGTATACATTTATATTTTACATTCGGTAATTAACTGAAATTTAAGATGATTAAGGTGAAACATTTTGCTACTGCTGTGTTATGTGCTATAAATGATCCATCAACTATAAATGGTTCATCAACTATAAGTGGTTCATCAACTATAAGTGGTCCATTAACTATAAGTTGTCAAACTTGTTATCTTCTGTCACTATATATAACGCAACTCACACATTTTTTTATTGAAATAATGGGTCAATTAGAAAATCATTTTGCATATACATTATTATTACTCTAATATTATTAATTATCACAGCCAAAAAAATAATAAAAAAGCTTTTTAAAATGCCCCTATCCGGTAGGTGCGGTCATATCCGTGGATATTAGTCATATCTGGCATTACGTCATACCGTAAACAAACAAAAACATCCAAAATTTCTATCATTCTTGTAGCATGTATGTCTCGGGTGTTTCTATTCCACCGGTGTTTAAATTAAAGTAAATGTTAGTTTTCAACAAGAGTCTCATTGTCAAGTGAAATATACGAGGGGCGTTCAATATATATAGAGCGTTGTTATTCCTTTCAAAACAATGAAAATTCAAATTGATAATTACCCAGCTTTAAGACTGACAGCCATTTTCATAACCATGGTAACAGAGCTGTATTGAATGTAATTGGCACTACTTTGATATGTTATGAGCGATGTACGACACCAGTGACGTCGCTGACGTCGGGAAACACCATCGTGACCTGGGACGCTAACAGTCGGGTGGAATTGCCTGATGCGCCGCCAAGTACAGACAGTTTGTCAAACGCGGTTGAAATTTCATGTACAAGTGTGTATTTAATTGCCGTTTCCGGTCATGTATTTTTTGTTAATTATGTTTGCCTAACAAAAAAGTTATAAGCACAGTCTACGAATATAATGAACGCTCCTCGTAATTCAATAATTTAATCTCAAATTCTCTACATACCTTTATTCTATGTATAAGCAATCACCTTAAACTGGCACATACCTTTTACTTATATTTTGTTGGGTTATAATGTAACACACATTAACATGGTGATAGTCTATCTAGCTTTACTGGTAGATTGTGACAGGTGCACCTCCACGTCTTATTTTAGGAAATAGCCAGTACCACAGTAAAACCAGCTACATCTTCGCCGGCTAGATAATTTCCTTGTTTGAAAGAATTCCAAATCTCTATCAGGAACTGTTTTTCTTTTGCTTTTGTTGTTGTTGTTAAATAGTGTCAGTTTCGTATTCCATCCATTTCTTATATTAGATCGGTTTAAATGTCTAACTGATAATGCACTACTTGAGAAAATGTTTTGTGACAGTTAAGGTGTGCGTACATGTGTTGTTTACTTCATACGATATTTTAGTCTTACCGATCTGGACCATCAGTTACAGAAAGCCAGATCTGGCCATTAAAACGATTTTTTTACTCAAAAAGTCTAGGACCGACACTTTATTGTTCTCAAAATGTACTAAGAAAATTTTGGAAGTTAATTTAAACGGAAGTTAAATAATTGTTAAACGATATAATTTACGTTTATCAAGTAGTGTTATTGTTTTTGTTTCAAAGTTATCGTTCTCTCTTTCTCTCTATCTTAAACTACATTCATATATTCGGTAAGAAATTCACGTCGCCCCTTTAGATACATTATAAGTGAATCAGTTTTCAAAATTAAGACCATAAGCTTCAAGTATTTAAAAAAGTATTTATTTACACTGAAAAATGCCTTAATTTAGATTGCTCATGTGAGTTACGGAAAAAACACTTTTTGATTTCGGAAATATTGCATATTTTGTGTTTAAAATGAAATTTGTGTGAATACAAATCAAATATTAAATAGTTTTCAGATTATGAATACAATTACTCGCTTGAAGCTGACCCTTTTCTCTTCAAAGTGTCCAAATCGCCGATATTTATCAGGAAAACACGGGTTAAATAATAAAATATTTATTTATTAAGTTATCTTATTCATTTTAATCATCTTGTATTAAATAAATGGTACAATAAGTAATTTTCAAGTGGTGTATGTAGACTTAGTGATAAAAAGTGTTGGAAAAATGCAACAAGAAATATCTTAGTAAGAATGCGGCCTGTTGTCAGAATCTGGAAAAATAATCCTTTCTGCGTATGTCACGCAGTATAATTGCGGTAATAAATACAGCAAAATTAATGATCATTTGCATGTAACATATAATAAAAATTGTTTGTGAATATTTTAACCATTTTTACAATCTTAAAACATTATTCTTAAAATATAATGGCTCATCTAGAGGCATGCAAAGTTAATCTGATTTTTCTGAATTAATTGTGAAAGGGCTAATTGTTTACTATGTTATTGCAGTTGAACCAAACTTTTTCTGATGTAATTGATGTAGGGTAAAAAACACCTGAGGCTTAAAGATGCAGAAATGGCCTTGGCATTCTTGACACGATGTATTAACCATCATGTCAAAACACCAGATGACAAACAGGTAAATATAATGAAGATTATAAAGATATATTAGGCCATCTGTCTTTGTATTTGCTCATGCGTTCAATTCCATGTCAAGGTCCTAGTTAGCAGATAAATAAAATTTATTTTATTGACATAATTTGTTTAAACGGACATATTCTTGATGTCTTATTTTCCCAGGTGAAACATTTATACATACATATATAAGCAAAGGCACACTATATGTGATATATGAATTAAAGAAGCCACTCATTTAGTTATACAGTATAAAGGTGTACAATTTGTAACATATGAGTAAAAAGGTGCATCATTTGCAACACATGATCAATGGATGGGTGAGTTGTCAAGGTAGTTTATTTAAAACTACTTGCCCCTCACCATAGTGGATTTGAATCCTAAAAAGGACTTCGGATTATTTCATGTGAGCAAGCTATCAAGCTTCCTTACGTACTCATGTGCACATTTGTGCCTGAATAATGCAAGAAAAGGAACATAAGGTCTTTCTCCACCAGTAAAAATTTAAAGTCGTCATATGACCTTTTCTGTATTGGTGCGAAGTTAAACCAAACCAAATGAAACAAAACATATAAGTAATGAAGTGCACAGCAGTTAGTAACATATTAGGAAAGGTGCACCATTTGCAACATGGGTATAGAGGTGCAACATTTATATATATGAGAAAAATATACATCATTTATAACAGATATAAGTAGAGAGATGCACCATTTGTAACATATGTGTTAACATAATTGAAATCTTATTGTGATAATATTAAATTGAAAGTATTTATTAGTACTGGATAAAGACACTCGATGCCATGCCACCAACACAGGGAACCACACTGACTATAAGTCTTTCTTTATTGTGCAATCCTTGGTGCTTGTCTGCATGTCATGCCTTATTTATTCTCATGCATGTTTTTTTTAAAATGTTTTTACCATAAATGTTGTTTTAAATGCCCATGTATATGTATTGTATACCAAAATAAATCTATCTATGTGTAAATTTGTATATCATTTATGAAATATATGATTAAAGAGATGTATGTTTGCTACTTAAAAGTAAGAAAGTGCATTATTTGTAACATATATTACAGTATAGTGGGGCCATTTATAACATATTAGTAAAATTGTGCATCATTAAAACATAATAGTATAAGTAAAAAAGATGCACCTTTTGTATAATACGAGTAAAATTGTATATCATTTATAACAAACCACTAAAACGATATATTATGATTATTTATTTGCAACATAGGAATAAAACTGTACATCATTTTTATAATATTTTTGAAAAAACAGGTGACACTCTGTAAGTTATCAGTACAAAAGTGCGCCATTTGTAACATACGAGTAAAGAGTTACACAATGTGTACCATATATGATCAATGAGGTGCAGAATTTGTAATAAATGAGTGAAGGGGTTTTTTTTATCAGTAACGCTGTACCTTTTATAAATATATATACATGTATTCCATTTGTTACATACATATTTGAGTAAAAAAGTGCACCATTTGTAAATTGTAAAAGGTGCAAATATGTTATAGATGAGTAAAGGGGTCTTCCATTTGTAACATAAGTAAAAGGTGCACCTTTTGTAATATACTGTAAAGATGTCATATTTCTAACTTGTAATATTTCAAACCGAGTCTGCAATTTTCATGTAATTTTGTTGTGATTAATGCTTACAAGGCTTAACATAGTGTTATGGCAGTTCAGTTGTATGCACATCATCTAAAAACATTGATAGCAAAACAATAATTATTTTAATGGAAATGTTTTTCTTTTCTATTTTCAGGCCAACGAGAAAGCTACACATTTATTTAAAGTTATGGGAGGTGATAATAAACCCTGTTTAGTATAATTGATCAAAAAGTGATTTACCAAAAGTTAGTGTTTACTTAAATAATAATCGAAATGGATAAGTAAAACTCAAATCTATATTTTAGGATTAACAAATTGTGAGATTACTGTATTAATCCCCCCCCCCCCGAAAAAAAAGATCAAAACTGTTTCAGAGTTTTAATCTGATCATCAGAGATCATTTGTTTTTGAATGGTTTATTCTTCTTTTTTTACACATTCGCATGAACAATATCAAAGGAAATTGTTGTAACAGTTTATAGTTAATTATTGTTCCAATAAAAGCAAGATGTAAAGCTACAATTCTCCAGATGATCTAAAACATTTAAATATCTAACTTGAGTTTAGG